AACTTGACTTGAAATATCTGGAATCCTGGTGAGCTGATCGACCAGTTGCTTCAAGTCATGCGTGAGAGCGAATGCGTGAGCAGAGATCCCGGCATGGTCGGTTTTCGAGGAACTTAACCACAAATTCTGGTGAGCATTGAAGTCCCCCAAAAACACCAATTCTGCATTAGGAAATTGTTCCTGGCGCGTCTTCTGCTGCCCAACTAATATGTTCAAAAAGGCCAGTTGTTTCAACATCGCCAGTATGGGATCTGTAGAGGCACACGTTGTCGCGACCCTCTTGGGGGCGTGCTGCCACATATAGCCCATATCCGTGATACAAACGTATCCATCGTGGATCACGAGATTTTAGACGATAGACACGTGACAAAGGGAGAATCGAGTGACAAAGGGTGGTTACTTACCACAGATTATATTGTATGTACCTTCAAGCACCAGCGAATGTCCGTCCATGCCTCTCATCACTTTCTTACTCCATCTGTAAGTATGTCACACCATCACAACGGTATGATTCTAGGATTCATAGAACACATAAATATTGTCATAAATGAGTATCAAGATTATCTGTAGGCCAATTACCCTTGTTAACTCAACTATCTACGTTAGCTGTCTAAACAATGCGGAGATTTCCCTAACATGACTTTCTGCCATGTATATCCTACGCTCCTGCAGAGCGGTGTGAGCATGAGAGCCAAGGCCGTCGCCTGCTCCCCACGCAACCCGTGCATGCGTGCGCCCACATGCACGAGCCGCGTCGCCCGCTTATATGGCACTTCTATGGAACGTCTTCAATCTGGCTCAGCCACTATTCCAGCTCCGTCCAGACATAGCGCTGCGCATGCCATAACTCTCTCTTATGGTCTTTCGGTAGGGTACCCTAGGACTTGCCTCCTGCAGAAGCACAAGTCCTCATATTTTTATATTTTTATAATTATGTCAATGCCACAGGCGTTTCACGCCATTACGCCGCCGGCCCTTTCGCCGTGTGAGAGAGTATCTAGTCACTGTGCCGGTACACCCAGGTACATAGGCTAATATCAAGAGCGCAGGCAAGCACTTATTTTCATACATACAAACTTTTCATGAGATGCAAACAGGCTATCATTTATGTGAACTATTCTACTACTTAGCTTTCGTTATGTTCCGTTGGTTCTCGAGCTCGTAGATAGGCACGTATCAGGTAGGCACATTTTTATGGCACATAACAGTTATTAAATACAGGTACAAGGTAATCACAGTATGTTAGTTTAACAAACAAGAAGAAGAGAAAAAAAAAGCGGCTTACTTGACATTGACATTAGAATTATAGCGGCAATTGATATGTGTTTGTGTTGCCACTTCAAACATCGCGACTGGTGTTGCCGTCGCGACACACGTTGACTCTAGCCAGATTCGACGTGAACCCCAAGCATGGTGAAGTAGGCTTTACCGAAATGTTAGCAATTTTGTACAAAACAACTTTTTCTCAGTATTTAATCTTAAAGTGTGATATGTCCACATGTTCCTCTAGATTTACCCGTGTCGGTAATGTGCAAAGGTCATAGTTTAATTTGCGTTATAATTAAACATCTATCAAAATGAGAACACGTAAAGTCCTTCAGCTGCCCGCGGCTTTATTTGTTACCAGCTATTTTAATTTTATTTCTTTTGTTATGTTTTTATTATATTGGTTTAACTACTATGTACTTTAAACAAAATTCAAACATCGAGGTTTCAAAAATTCTTATTTTTTTTCGCAGTAGGTATTTTGCAGTCTTTTTTTGTGACACAATTGTCTTGAATGTTGTTTTAATAAAAAAAGTAATTCAGCTTCCTGAAATTACTTAAAGTTACTCAAAAAAGGCTTGAAAGTCGGAACTTTAGTTTTTAGTAGGATTTACTCAAACATTCGACTTCAATTTAAAAATACAAAAAGGAGTTTCCATAGCTTCTGGCTAAAATTAAAAACTCTGCATGCTTCTAAACTACCAAAAATCATAAAAAAAATAGTACTTAATTAGCCTATTTTTGTTGTATTTGGCCCTCGAAGGCGGATAGGCTAAAATCGTTGAAACATAATTAAAGCATAAAAAAATATTCTATTCTTTATCATTGTTATGGTAAATTAAACTTAAAAATGTAATTTCAAATTAAATTTAATTGAAATTCCTGTAAAATAACTTTAGCATGTGTAATTTTACAATAATTTCGGTTTCACCACTAAGATTTAAAATGCGAACAAGAATTGAGACAAAAACTTAGAGAAGCGGAAAGAAAAATAAAGCAAAGAATATTCAAGCAGCTTGAGACAATTAAACCATAATTTTTTAAGACGGTGTCAATTGTGTATTCAGGTTGGAGGAAGGAGTTATGAAAATTTACTGGAATTAGAATATACCTCGAAAACTAAGAAAAATCGCGGAACATACATGGGGTATTTTCGGATACCCTCAGGTGCAAGGAATCTAAAAAAATTGTTGACTTCACTAGTCGGACCACCCTGTATATGTTTTCTATTAGTTACCCAAGCATCCCATAACACAAACCTTACAGTGCTTACTTTGGGGCTAGGCTAATTAGTGTGAAAAAAAAATATACTGTTTTCAAAGTTTATTTTAACGATATTACATAATGTTACTAACATAATAAGAAATATCCTATTATTCGCTAGTAGGTACATACTTACTGGACTCCCTGTCTTCATAAATCAGCACGCGATAATGTTACTTTAGTTTTCAAATTATAAACGATAATTCTGTAAAATTCGAAGTAAATAATATTAAGTTTTATAGTTACTCACCCCTTCCATCACCCTACCCCTTAGATTAAAACAAAAAGGGTAGATACGGCACTAGCCTCACAAAAGTGATCCGCATAAATTGTGGCCCAAGACCACAATCGCTTTCGTCACAGCTTGACATGCAAACGGCGTACATGTAAACGCCAAAAAGAAATATTGCTAATATTTTGTGTTTATATGATAAAACAATGCCTAAGTGTGTTTTTAAAAAGTGCTCCAATTGCTCGAGAACTAAAAATAGAACCCACGGCATCACTTTTCATTCGTAAGTACTATAAAATATATTTTACATAAAAATTGCTGTTTGTTTTGAATCTTATTCGGTAGTGACGTCGAGTACTGGTCGCGTGATTGGTCGATAGTGCAGTGACGCGGATCTCGCCGTCTCGTTCGCGCTGCCGTTGAAACTTAACGTACTGTTTCGTTCGGGTCGGTAATGCAGTGACGCGGATCTCGCCGTCCCGTTCGCGCTGCCGTTGAAACTAAAATTGCTGTTTCGTTCGTTCGATTGTATCGTTCCAAACAGGTGGATGCGTGAGTGTTGCATATGTAGTAAAGTGGGATCAGTTTTATTTATTTATTTTCTAAGAAAACCAACAGCGTTTTTCCGATACAAAATTTACAGTAGGTACATTTCTAAAAGTATGGCCAATGTCAGGTTTTCCTTAACTAGATTAACAATAAGTGACTTATTATTGGTACTTCTATTCTTAACAAGCGATCATCAAACAATCCATCCGCATATAATCGTGATGTAATCTTATAAAAGTAGTAGGTATAAATCTCATAAATAAAATGTAATATTTACACATATACATAATTATACTAAGTATGTAAGACTAATAAGGTATAATGAATACTTTTTGTAAGCTGTAGCTGTCCCAGCGAACTTTGTACCGCCATAAAAAGGGGTTGGTGGTAGAAGAGTGAAAATTTAGTTTTGTATGATGTATCAAAAAAAAAAAAAACAAAAATTAGGGGTGCAAATCGGAATATGTAGCTCTGCATCTACTGTTTTTTCTTGTAGCTCTTTCCATACATCTACATATAATCCGATTCAAATAAAATCGGAAAGCCAATGACCTCTATCTGTCAAATGTCGATTGAAAAGTACGGTTTGCAAAAAAAAGATGGAACCCTTATTTCGCACTCCACTAATTCAAGAATAAAAACCAAACATTTGTAAATAAACAATAACAAATATTGATAATTAATATCGGCTGATATTTTTTTTCACTTATTGAGCTTTGGCCATGAATGGTTGATAACCTTAATCGTCAACCAAATGTCACTTTAAGTTGCGTTCCGAAACTCGATTTCAAACTTTCGTTTACATAAAGGATGCATGTTTTTATGTGACCTAGTAATAGTGCATGATTATTCATAACTACTCCGGCGGTAATGCAGAGATGAGCGGAATAGAAGAGCTAGATTCTGATCAATGTTTTTTCTCACATTCTTAATAAATAAAAGTTATTAAAATCTGATGCTTTTTCTCACTTAATCTGAGTAAATAAGTTTTATTAAATAAAAACTTTTTTTTGCTTACTCTACCTATTTGGTTTGAATTGACAGCCATGACATCACAATATGGCGCCCAGTCAGTCCTATTCTTAGTTGAATCGCATTGTACTGTTTTTTTCAATAACGGAGTTTTAAAAATCGGACCTGGCAATACTGCACACATGTCAATGTCAATGGGTTTTTGGCGGGATTTCATCGAGTGCGGTTGGCGTCTTATTTTAATTATTCTTAAATTCGCTCATAGTGGATATTGTGAAATAAAATTGGTGTGGTTTTGTGTAACAACCGTCTGCGTAACTGAAGAATTAGTGGAATCGTTAAAATATACGCTATTCCGGTCAAGTGGACGTGAGAATTTTATTGTAGTGTTGACTACCTCACAGAAGCTTATCGAAAAAGCCAACTCGATACATTTCGTGCCAAACACTCCAAAAAACATTAGAATGCGTCACACCGACATTCTAATGTTAAAAAAAAAGATTAATTTAATTAACTAGGCTGTATGGGCATTGTTCCCTTTGCCTTCCTTAAAACGGGAGAACTTCAAAAAAAAAAAGTCAATGTCAATGGTTCACGTTGTAATGCAACCGGCTTGTTTGAAAATTATAATTTAATAAATCGATTATATTCTAATGACTAATACAATTTAAATAAAGAGTACTTTGTCTGACAAATATTGTACTATATTTACTTCAGAATGACGTTAGGAGAAGTCCAGAAAAATCTCCCGTGGTAAGTAATTTTTGTAAATGAAACAAATTAATTATCTTACAGTTGATAATATATCCGCTGAGTGAATATCTTTTTACAGGGTCGAGAAATATCGCCCATCCAAATTAGAAGATTTAGTATCACATGATGATATCATAAAAACAAGTAAGTTGAATTTAATTTCAATATCGACTTGTCTTTGTATTTTTGAGAATCCCTCAGGTACCTAAAATTTTTTCGGGATGAAAAGTATCCTATGTCTCAATCCAGGTAACTAACTATATGCATACCAAATTTCATCCAAATTTGTTCATTAGTTTTTTGCATGGTTGGGTAACAGAAAACAAACAAACTCAGTTTCGTTTTTATAATATTAGTTAGGATCACCATCATGAATCATAAATGTCGACAGCTCTCTAGGCAGCACAAACATTGGCCCTCGTTGTCAAAATCGTTGTTGTTGTCAAAAAAAAAAACAATTAAAATTATGGAATCTATTTTATGTGACTATATTATCTCACCACTAACAACAACTTAATTGCATTGTACCATCACTTTGATTTTCAAATATGATCCTGCTTATTGCAAGATGCTACTTGTGATCAATTTTGAAAAATTTCCATTTTTATAATCAAAATCAATATTGTTTATTCAGTCTAGGCTGTTACAAGCAGTTGTGAATGTCGAAAAGCTATGCCATCAGTTCGCAAATCTATGGCAGGGGACTCAGCAAGGGCTTTTTTTCTCCCTATATTATATAGAGTCGTCAAATTGAAAAATGACTTCAATATGAGATAACTAATGAAGTCACTTTCCATTACAAATGTAAATGATATAAAAATTATGACTATGAAATAAAGTATATAAAAACTGATTTAACAAAGTTTAGGAATGTTTAGGAATGCTCTGTCCTACTGTTTAGGCATAAAAAAATTATTATTAAAGCTAATTACAATGATTAATAGTATCAAATGTAGCAAGATCATCTACGCTGGCAGCACCCATTCACGAGCATGACGCATGAGCCAGCCATCGCTTCGCTCAACTATTTTTAAGGAAATGTAACAACCCGCCTCACACGACACCTCCGAAGACATTTTTAAGAGAGCGTGACTACTCATTACCACATATGGATACTAGGTTGCAAAATAGGGAAAAAAATATTTAAGTACCAGTGTACATTATGAAAAGACAAACTATAAACACAACTGTAGGACACATGCATGTGATTACTTAAACACTTGTGTTGATTCTGGCACTACTCTCCAAACCTAACTTCAGTGACCCCTATTCACTCTGTATAGAGAATAACAATTTAATACTTGAGCCAGTGTTCCGTTAAACATATAATCAAGGGCGGATCCAGCTTTGGCGCCAGGGGAGGGTCATATAGCCAGCTTTGGCGCCAGGGGGGGGTCATATAGTCGTGGTATATTAAATATTGAAAGTAATAGTATATACTTAAATAAAATCCCCCTGGGTTTGGTCCATCTGTACCCAGCCCAAAGGGGGGGGTTGTGACCCCCATGACCCCCCCCTGGATCCGCCCTTGCATATAATGAGTATCTCACTTGAATACAATTCTAATTCTAGTCTTTGCCAGCCAAACCTTCTATATTTTGATGAATAATATTAATAATGCTTTTATTAGGTCTTTAAGCTCAGTTTAAAACTAGGCTGGTTAAGGTATTAATAAAGTTAAAATTTCTTTTACAAGAAATACTAACACTATTTTGTCGAATAGAGTTAGTTATACCACATATAACCATATTTTGTATATTAAAAACTAACAAAATAGCTGTCTGGGTCCTAAATTTCTTTGCACGATACATAGTATTTGTAGTCAACTTAAAATATCTGATATATTTAATTATGTCGAAATATAAAATACGTCACTATGACTATTAATTAAATTATATATAGTTAAATTTAAATTAAAGAAGCGCTTGTTCTGTTCCCTAGATAAGTTATGGGCATATGAGAAAGCGCTAATGATTATTTTACAATTAGCTCAACACATTTTGTAATGTGTTGAGCTAATAGTATAATAAGCTGTAATTGATAATTGGAACTGTCAACATAAAAAAACAATAGGTTAGTATAACTATCCACATTATGGCGGGTGAAGTTATTTACAAGTTAAATGAGTTTTCAGGAGTACATATATTTATAATGTTTTCATCACTGTAATTTTAATAGTTAGTCCTAGCCCCTGACCTAACTTGTCTGTTTTATTTTTATTCACTGTTCTTAGTTGACATTAGTAATTGTTTTATTGATTTGACATAATTAACTATTTTATTATAACATTAATTAATAATACTCTTACAATGGGTGATTTGACTTGTTCCTATTAAGTCCTATTTGACATTACTGTTTTTTTTGTTGTGGTTGTTATTAATATGGGTGATTTGACTTTGTTTCTATTAAGTACTATTTGACATTACCTACGTACGTATCTATTTGGCATTACTGCATTTTTTTTTTAATTATTATTATTTGATTATCTCTTTTTCTTAATTTTAATGAATACCTTCTATGATTGTTAATATTTATTAGCCTGCATGTTTAACTTGAATAAATAAATAAATAAAGGTTATGCGGGCGTTAATTTAAAATATCTCCAGCCACGCTAAAAAAGCCCTCCTAAGCGTCACGGTTACCCGGACCGTGCGGTATGTATATACAAGCAATGTTCAGGTGTTTCTTTCAAATGTTTAATACTTGTATTCATTTGATATTGTGGGTTACCTAAAATGTGCGCAAAGAGAAAGATGGCGTTGCCTTGTAGCTTAAGAAAGGCTTGAATGAATTCGACACGTCCATCACGGCCGCGATAGCATAATGGTCAGTGCATTCGCCCGGAGAGCAAAGGGTGCGAGTCCTGTCTTCTGCCTGGTCTGCTTAGATTTTTTTTCAAGTTATATTTTCTTGAGATTTAAAATATCTTTACCATACTTGCAGTAAATCAATTTATGAAAGAGAACCAACTTCCTCATTTGTTATTTTATGGTCCACCGGGAACTGGCAAAACTTCCACAATACTTGCTTGTGCAAGGCAAATGTACACACCACAACAGTTCAACTCTATGGTATGTATCACATTACCCTGTACCAAATTTAAGATCTATATATATATAAAGTTAAAAAATAAAGATAAACTTATTGAAAGAGTTAAAATATATTTGTGGAAAACTTGTTATTTTTTTATTCCATGAATTCAAACTAAGCTGAACTTGCATAGTAACTAAAGAATAATTAATACCAAGCATATTATACTATTTATTAACAATGACTGCTAGAAATATTTGTGCTCAATACACAAAAAACTGTGTCTACTGTTATTCATACTCAGGAACTTTTGCACCAACTGATATTATCATGTTTTGGTGGTAAGGTTGGTACATTGTGTTTATTACTTTTGTTTGGTATTTCTTTGCCAGCCAAACCTTCTATATTTTGATGAATAATATTAATAATGCTTATATTAGGTTTGGCTGTTGTCTTTAAGCTCTGTTTAAAACTGGGCTGGTTAAGGACATTACTGTTATTTTTGTTGTAGTTGTTATTAATATGGGTGATTTGACTTTGTTTCTATTAAGTACTATTTGACATATTTCACATTACCTACGTACGTATCTATTTGGCATTACTGCATTTTTTTTTAATTATTATTATTTGATTATCTCTTTTTCTTAATTTTATTGAATTAAATGAATACCTTCTATGATTGTTAATATTTATTATGTATGACTTGCCGGCGTTTTGGATTATTCTGTAAGCCTGCATGTTTAACTTGAATAAATAAATAAATAAAGGTTATGCGGGCGTTAATTTAAAATATCTCCAGCCACGCTAAAAAAGCCCTCCTAAGCATCACGGTTACCCGGACCGTGCGGTATGTACCTATATACAAGCAATGTTCAGGTGTTTCTTTCAAATGTTTAATACTTGTATTCATTTGACATTGTGGGTTACCTAAAATGTGCGCAAAGAGAAAGATGGCGTTGCCTTGTAGCTTAAGAAAGGCTAGAATAAATACGACACGTCCACAAAAAACTGTGTCTACTGTTATTCATACTCAGGAACTTTTGCACCAACTGATATTATCATGTTTTGGTGGTAAGGTTGGTACATTGTGTTTATTACTTTTGTTTGGTATTTCAAAGGTGTTAGAACTGAATGCATCTGATGATAGAGGAATAGGAATTGTAAGAGGCCAAATCCTTAGTTTTGCATCTACCAGAACAATTTTCAAAGCTGGCCCAAAATTGATAATTTTGGATGAAGCAGATGCTATGACAAAGGATGCACAAAATGCACTAAGGAGAAGTGAGTATTTTTTGTAATTATGATAATACATCACTGTTTTATACACTCATGAAAAAAGTCTACTTGCACAATGTATGCAAACTACAAGTTTTATCAGTTAATTATAATGATCATTATGAATGTATAATTCATTTCAACGTTTTCTTCCCTTAATCACAAATATTTTATTATTAACAAAATAATATAAGTATATAAAAATATTAATTGGGGTCAAGTTCAAAAAGTTCATGTTGCTTAGACTCATTTGATGAGTATATAATACCTTTGGACTGATAGGCCAGGTTAGAAGTCTGAAAATCATAAAAGGTAAAAAATACGGCCGATTTGAGGCTGCGAAGGGTATGGGTTGACCTTTTGAGAGGAGAAAACGGTTTATCGCAATTTTCATGAAACCTACAACTCTTATCGAAAAAATCTCAATAGCAATATTGTAGGTTACTTGTTACTTGTTGTGCCCCTGTTTCCGAGACTCGGTACTTGGTCCATTGTGCGTGCAGGGTATGTTGGGCTAGCTAGCTCAGCCAGCCCAGCTCCTTCCAGAAGCGCAGTAACCTCCTGGGGCTCTCACAGGCTTCTAGGAGCGTCCTCGGCTTCCTGAGGATTGATGCCCGGTGTTCTGCAACGCTCGTGCATTCCAAGATCACATGAGCGGCCGTTTCATCTGCTTCCAGACATCCTCTGCATAGAGGATTCTCGCGCTATCTGTAACGCGTATGGTTAGTAAATGCTTGTTAAGTAGGCAGTGCCCTGTTATGGTGCCTAGCATTACTCGGAGATCATTTCGGTTGAGATTTAGTAGTTTTCTAGTTAGTCTGGGGTTGAGGCTGGGAAAAATATCCTTAGATTGCCTACAGCCCTCGGTATTCGCCCAACGGGTGTTATGGTTCTGTGTGGTTCGTTGCCGCACCCATGTACGAAACTTATTGAAAGGTATGGCAGAAGTGGCTCAGGGTCTTCCACTCTCTGTGATGATCCCCTTCTAGCCAGTTCTTCGGCTGCGTCATTACCCACAGAACCGCTATGTCCCTTGATCCATTGGAGGATAACCTTATTATCCGTTGCAATGTACTCCAATGCCAGGTGACATTCGTATACTAGCCCAGAAGTTTTGCTGTTACTATCTAGGGGTCTTAGGACAGCCATACTATCAGATAATATACGTATCTTGTAGTTTTTGACTTTCCTATTAATAACAGCGGTGGCGGCCTGTCATAATGGCTATACATTCACATTGGAATAGTGATGTTACGGTCTTGAATTTTGACAAACCGGATTTGATCGGTTAGTAATACATGCAAATCGGTTTCCGAACCGAACCGCCAAATTTTCAGTAAACCGCGGTTTGAACCGGTTTGAACCGTTTGACGAGTTGACGAATGAAACTTACGAAACAACAGGTGCTATTTTTTTTTTAATTCTACATACTTTGTTGATATTACATCGTGCAAATATTTAAAGGTAATTGAAAAATAACAATTAAAATATGAAAACAAATAATAATAATCAGAATTAAAATTGTCAAAATAAAAATAAACAAATATCTATGTAATACTGTGTTTAAAAAATTACAAAAAAAATATATAAACTCTATTAATTACATAAAACCGTACTTCTTAACTTTGAGAATAAAATAAAATTTTAATAATCAACAATATAATAAATACGTAATTTATTTTTGTAAAATCATTTGAGTCGTAGAAACTTAATTTGGTACAAACAACTTAATTAAAAAGTTTTCTTACAACTATTTAGGAATAATATTTGGTCTATTTTTTTAGAAGCTGGGCAATTACGTCGCATATTACATAATAATGAAAACAAAATTACACCGTCAAGTCAGTCAAATCTACTAGAGTCCGTTTCATTTCGGTTCGGTCGGTAAGTCGGTTATGGCTGTTGTATTTAAATTGGCGATGCGCGCTAACCGTATCCGCTGCTGTAAGTCGGTTCGTATTGGTCGGTCAAATTTTATTAGGGTCGGTAAAGCACGTTAGGAGCCGCACGCGATTTGTGGATGGCGGCATAAACAAGAATTGACAGGCGCGCATGCACGCAGCGCGATACGAACGAATGCCACGATAGAACCGGTTTACGAAGACGTTAACCGATTCAACTCGGTCCATGCTCAAACCGGTTTGAACCGGTTTGAAAAGTCGAGTCGTTACATCTCTACATTGGAATATTGAGCTGTGATTACCCAGTGCTGTTGATATATGGATGTTAAGGTCCAGTGAGAAGACTCCTGCGCCTGATCCGAATCCTGGTATTTTGGATCCATCAGTGTAAATGCGTAGTTCGTCTGTGCCCTACCAGTCCTTGTTGGTTTCTAGTAGTTCTATTTGATATCTTCTATCAAATGTATGAGTAGTCGGGATTTTATCACAGCGGGCTGTTAATATTGTAGGTAATCGAAGGGTCTACAACTTTTGTAGAGCTTTTGATTATATTCCTATAATTAAACTAAATGCTCAATCTGTAAAATCATAACCCTCATAAAACAATAACAAATGAACTCTAACGTTTATTTTTCATTTATCAAAAAATGATAATGCTGAATGATATGAATACCTACTTATAAACTATTTATATGCATTGGATGACGATGTTGAATAGGGAAGATGCATATATAATATTTATGAAAATTTTATGATTAAAATGTTAAAAAAATATAAAAGAATTGCCACTGCAACGTTTTTATTTTACATAATGTTGTTTTTTAACAATTATTACGAATTAAAAATACTTGAAACGGAACGTATTTTAAAACACCAATCAGCGTTTTGTGACGTTACTCCTGTTATGACAACTTCTTTGAGGTTATGGTTGTTAAAGTAAATACTATTTTATGGGAATATTAATTGCGTTTTTTTACATTTAATAAAAATGGATGTTGCGTTTATCAAAGTAGACTCCAGGAATTTACCAAGAGTTAGTGTTGACATGGTTATAACTTTTTTTGTCCGAAGTGCAGAGTTTTTAAGTGTAGAAATGAAAGGGACTAAATTACTACGGTATGTAAAAATCGTAGTTGTTAAACTTCGTATTTTATTCAGCGGCTTCTACAAATGTTACGGCGATAATGCAATCGGCTATGTCCAAATAAAAAGAGATGGAGAATTATGTACAGACGAAAGTCAATGGTCGAGTTCTCCGGAGCATAAAGTACGTAAAGAAGGTTATCGTGTTACAGTTATTTTAAATGAAACGCAAAGCTTGGTTCAGTCCTGCCAATGTGAAGATTGTGCCACACATTTTAAACTTTATCTAATTTTCGACGTCATTCTCCAACTGTAAAATTAAAAATATGTTATAGACAGGTTTTGTAAGTATTAGGTAGGTTACTAATGCGTTTTTACGTACAAGCAGATTAATTAAGCATATAACAAGTATATTCGCCGACTTACGTCAAAGTGATCTTCACAGCATCGAATAATGGTCTTTGGAGAATAATTGTCATTTCTCTTCGCAGCTTGAAACCACTTTTTTTTCAGTTTTGGGTCAGAAGTTCCAGTCAAAAACAATTTATTTGGAAACTTTGTTGAAGTAGATTGGCACAAAACATGAGTCAACACGGCTTTTTTTCGGAATATTAGTGGTATTGTTATGATCACATGATGTTGATGGATAGTCCATTTTAAATTTTTCAAAAAAATATTTCGAAAGTCGAAAAAATATGCAAAAGTATGAAAATTTAAAGCCAGCGACGAACAAGTACGACCAGTGACAGACAGGAGTGACGTCATCGCAACAATTGGTTCGTTTTCGCGCGAAAATTTAAATTGTCAATTAAAAACCGCATTCTTTCCGATAAATCACAATGTTTTAATTTTTTATTATATCTGTGGTTTATTCTACATGGAATTCTTTAAAATGAAAACAAAAATAAAAATATTGCATCTTCCCTATTATATTGAAAAAATTAAAGCGTCAGTCTTAGTTGTACAACCTTGGTAACTAAGGCAACTAAAATTAAAAACATGAACTTAAATTAACTTATAGTAAAAAATCTCTACAATGTATAATATTTTGTTAGTATATATAAATTTGAAACCAAATAGGTCATTATGCTAGAATTTAAGAAATAAAAAATGTAACTTCGTAAATATATATTGCATGCTATTCAATTTATTGATGTCTGATACTGATGAAGAAGAAGTTCAAAGCAGAACAATTAAAATCAGTGTTGTTGGCGAATCTGCTACTGGAAAAGTAAGTACTTGATACATTTTAAAATTATAATAAAAAATGACTTATGTGTTAGTTTGTTGATTTGTAAATAACTTAGTGATTTTGCCCCTTGTTTGGAGAAAAAGAAAAAGCTAACATCCAAAGAATTGAAGTGTACAAAATTGATAGACATGTTATTTATAAATATTTTTGAAAGTATATATAAAAGTATATTTAGTATAGTTATAACTATACAAAAGTATATTTTTGATTTCCACTTATCTTTGGTCAGATTCGGTATTCACCTCTACAAATTTGCCTGATTTTAAGTAGACTAAATCGTAAGATCGTTGTACCAGGAAAATATTGCTTAGCTCTATTTCGGCTAGATCCAGAATCAATCAGTATTACCTATTCATGTTTATAAACGATTGTTATTTTAGACAAGTCTGTGCACCCGGTATTTGAGTGGTGGCGGCACCACCGCGACGGCCGCTAGTGGCACCCAGGGCGCGGAGGTGATGGCGGGCCAGTGTCTCGGCCTGCGTCCCCCAGTACCCCTGCAGCTGTGCGACGTCGCGGGCAACGCTCTCTCTACCCGCATGCTCGACAACTATCTGTACGCTTCTGATGTAAGTTTGTTATACAATACAGTGTGGGACAATCTCAATTTTTGGTGTCATGAAGTAAAAGTGAATGATGATGTTGTTATTCGAATTTAAAAATGGATAAAATAGTGCGCCAGATATTAAACGAATGTGTAAAATGACAATTATGATAATGATGATGAATGAAAAAGAATATACATATTAGATATTTTATTTTACAGGTCATTCTGTTTGTGTATGATCTGACAAACCTACAGAGTTTTGAAAAGTTAAATACATGGTTTGAAACCATTAAACACATATTTGACGCGGAGCAAAAGAAGCCTGTGATGGCACTTTTTGGAAACAAATCAGATTTAGAGCACCAAAGAGCTGTCAGGTTATCGTGTGTGCAGAAGTTTGCATCGGAACACCTTTTGGAAAACTTCAAAGGTTCCGCTCGAACTGGAGAAATGGTAAGTTAAACATAGGAGCAGCATTATAGTTTACAATAACTAAGATTATTTACGTCCCTTTATCTTTTATGTTTTCTTCTTATTGGACGAACAATGCAATTTTTTCGTATAAAACTTAGCGGCCCATTAAGCCTGATATCATAAGCTCTTGTATGTTTTTTACATCGCCCGAAAACGACACGATTTACCGAAACGTCCCTCTTTTCGTTGTTCAGCTACACCTTCCCTACTAGTGACATGCTGTACGTGTTGGGTGTTACATGCAGTAACAATGTTGTACATTTTAATTTTCTCGGCTCAATAATTCCAATATTATAAAAAAATAGTCTTAATGTGCATTTTACGTAGCCCAATCATACTTTCTTTCTCTTTGTGTTAGGTCAACAACGCGTTCACTAATCTAGTAGCGCGCGTGTTGGGCGCCAAAGTTCGTCGAGCGTTCGCGAACGGCCGCTCGCCGATTGTGCGTGAATCTGAGACACGCCCACAGGAACCCACCACTTCACTCATTATGACCAGGAAGGCGGTACGGCGCGCGCAACGCACCGCCTCTTCATCCGTCTGCAGCGTCGTCTGACTTCTATGTTACGACAATAAAACTGTTCCTACTCAACTATACGCACGATGTTTCAATTCCCTTATTCGTTTCTCGCGTTATTTTCGATTTTTTTCTGTTTTAGAGACCCCCCACACTAGCATCTTTAAAACGTCTATTTTTGTGAACAAATACAAAATAAGCATCTAAAAAGTCGTCAAATGGTCTTTTCGTTTTTTTTTGCGTATATAAATCATCTGTAAATAATCATGTGTTTTTATTATTTTTTATATGTTTACATTTAGGTAATGCAATATTCCTGAACTCTAAAACTCCACAGAGGATGTTTCCAACGATGATGATGATGTTGTTGACTATGGTGATTCCTTTTTTCGTTTACGTGACATTGATTGTATGCGACAGGCACCGCGGTAACGGCGCGGCGACGCGACGCCAGCGCTACGTTAAGTCCGACATTTAGCAGCCGGCCAGCGCTGGCGTCGCGTCCACGTTGTGCGGATGCTAGTCCGAAAAAGACGCTAGTGTAGGGGTCTGTTAGCCTTACCACTTTTTATTGACAACAACCCCTATCGTGTTCTAAATGATTATCGAAACCTAAATTGAATGTAATGAAAATGAGACTGTTGTCAACTTTAGTTTTAACTTTAGAGAATCATGTTAGAATCAGCCGATTAATATTTTAATTGCCCATATATTTTTATTGTGATAAAAGTTTCATATTTCTACTAATATCTTCACTGCACATTGTTAAACATACAGAACGAGTGTGTAAATTAAAGTTGTATTAAAATAAAATGTTTCAATGGACCGTTTCAGTAATAGAGAAGTACACCGACAACGTTCGGTTTTGTATAATTTGTAACTACCTGGGCAAGATCATACCGGCGCTTCAGTCGCGATGCACTCGCTTCAGGTTCGCGCCGCTGCAGCAGAGCCAGATTGTGCCCCGGCTGAAGGAGATCGCGGCCGCCGAAGGGTAAGTTTTCCTTAATTCATCATATTGAACTGTTCTATTTTTGTAATTAAAGAATTTTACTACAACATAATCAACTTATCATAAATAATACTGCTTTACTGTACCACGCGTGGCTTAGATATGAAATTTCTTTAGGCATGTCTCCCACGACACACCCTTTTACTTCGGGCACACAATAGTAACTTACTTCATCAGTAGACTTACATACCTGTGCAAAATGCCACTCATTTGGTCAGTGAACATCTACCTGAAATTTTCAAACATATTTTTCCTTTCTCTAGAAATATTTGAAAAATTAGATCTCAGCTGATGTTTAATTTGATCTCAGTAATAGCTTACTTGATATATTTTTCGAAGTTTTATTATCTAGTTAACATTTTAAATAAGTTTGAACTTATCTAGCCAAAAATAGCAAGTATTGTGATAAAAGTGCATAATAATAGTGCATTCTTTTATCTGTGTCCAAACCCTAAACTTAATGCAAACGCAATTCAAATTTTATAAGCAGGGCCGGACTGCGACTTTAGGGGGCTCTGGGCTAATACTATTTAGGGGCCCTATGGTACTGGTACTTATAAATAATTCTAGCAAGAAATAGAGAGACAGAGTCTGGGAGGGAAACAGCGGAGCACGATTGAGATGAATGTGTAATGGCAGCGGAACATTTTAACTGCCAGTTCGAAGTACCAACACCTGAAAGTAGACTTGAATTTAATGAATTGAATGGGTTTAATTAACCGCAGGATTCCCAGGTCTGCAAACTATACGATCTGTTTAATTTAATAAAATTATGGATTCTTTCGCATTATCGTCTATTTTTGACTAAACTTGACTTAGCTGGGGGGCCCTTGAATCCACAGTGCCCTGGGCTGAAGCCCAATAAGCCATATGGTAGATCCGGCCCTGTTTATAAGGTATGTGAAGTTAGGAGCGAGAGCAACTATGAGTTCATAGTTTACCCCCCGTGCTTCGCTTACACTTCTGCGACTTGTACTAACTTCACAGCCATCATTAACTTTGAATATCAGTAGCATTATATTCGGTGTCAATTTTAGCCACTGTTTTTCAGTTCTTTTATTACGGAATCATTTATTATTCAGGGTAAATATGTCAGAGGATGGTGTGAAAGCCCTGCTAACGTTGTCGGGCGGTGACATGCGTAAAGTGTTGAACACACTGCAGAGCACGTGGCTAGCGTACCGTGACGTCACCGAAGACAAGGTGTACACGTGCGTGGGTCACCCGCTTAGGACCGACATTAACGCTATTATCAACTGGCTACTCAACGAGAACGACTTCGCTGCCTGCTTCAAACGTATCCTTTTCAATTTAAACGTTTATTCCGCAAATTTTCGAAACTCGCACGGGAATTAAAACCTATAGGCTACTTCCCGTGAACTTAGAATCGAGAAATTTGGTACGAAGTAACGTCTTATAGTATAGATAAAAGAAAAGTTGCTAAAACCGTAAATTATTAGTTACATCATAAAATTTTTTTTTATTAATTATTAAAATATACCTACCGGTTTGTACGGAACCCTCGGTGCGCGAGTGCGACTCGCACTTGACCTGTTTTTTATCTCTGTTATGGCGGCCGCTGTCTTGTTGCCACATCTCCGCCTGCCCTGTCCTAAATCCGGCTCGGCGTCGCATCGACATCCATAATATAGTATTATAAATGCGAGAGTGTGCCTGTCTATTAATTCTGCATGCTCTCACCACACGTCTGAACCGATTTAGGTGAAATTTTGTGTATAAATAGTTTGAGTTCCGGAAAAAGACATAGCTTTTTATCTCAAATACCATCTTTTAAGAGGGTGAAAATGTGGTGGAAGTTTGTATGGCAAACTATTTTTTCCAATCAGACGAAGTCGCGGGCACACATTAGTACGTAATAAAATGTAATAGTGAGGAAACTCGGCCGTCTGGACAGGACAAGGATGAGGCGAGGTGTGCAGGCCGAAAAGTGGACCTAGTTGAAAAGGATATTTTTCATTGAGATTAAAGAAATTTTTTGAAAACCTTATTCTAAAGGGCAGACTAAAGTAAGTCTTGGTTTAAACATAATGTTGTTCCTTTCTTCATTTTAGCGAACAATAGTGACAGCATCCATTTTAGTCTCTGGACTAAGTTAAACCTGTTTAACTTTTGTCTACGTTTTAGTTTAGTTATCCTTAATTGTAACCCCAGACATCCAAGATGTGAAGCTTGCTAAGGGTTTAGCTCTCAGTGACATATTAACGGAGGTGCATACAATTATACAAAGATGTGAGTACTAAAACATTGATACTTAGGCCGTATACAGAAAGAAAGCCGAAAGCCGACCGGCGCTGATCCTTTTTCTACGGACCAGCGCCTATAAGCGCCGACACGCGCTGGTCAGCTGGTCATTATGATATATATGTTGTCCGAATAATAAATAATTTGTATTTGAATTATTATCCTTAGATTAAATCAATCTAAATTATAATGTTTTTATAAATCTAATAACTTTATCTTTTATTAACTAAGCGCTAAAGTTATTTGTTTCGTACTTACCGAATGGTGACAACAAGTCTTTTTTCTGGAAGGATTGGTTGTATATGCCAATTGCACCAATTTTTCATCAAACTGTTTTCCACTTAATCCAAAATGTAATAAAATGTTTCTTGAGTCATTCGTGTATATGTATAAAATCTTTGATCATCAAATTTAATTTTTTTTACAAATAAATGATGGTATTCTCCGAAACGTTTCCTTTCTCTATTTATAGGATGTATAGCTTTTTTTCGCATTTTTAAATACACATTTTCTAACAAAACCAGATCATCGTCCGATGAGTCCGACATTTTGCTTGATCTGCTTTAATCGGCTTCCTTTATGTAGTAAGGATCCGATAAGCCGATAAGCGCCGATCAGCTTTCGGCTTTCTTTCTGTATACGGCCCAAGCTCTAAAATTTTTGTCTGTTGGTATCTTTTGAATTACAAATATCAGTCTCTTAAAATTAAAAAAAAATACTGATTTGAATAACTTGGTCTCCGAGTGTGGACACAATATGCTTATTTATGTGAAAGAACGGCAAACAAGTACGACCCACTTGATATAGTCTCGTCTTGCTGGCAGGTTAAGAGCCCAATCACATTTTTTGCAAAAAAATCGTAATTTTTGAGCGCCTCGTTTAACCCCCTTAGAAAAGTTTTCGACTATTTCCAATTGAAGTAAACAGTAGATTTATTCTTCTTATTGTAAGTTAATGTAGAATAATTGCAAATACAATTTTCCTTTTTTTCTACTGATCGTTCTACTGCAGCTAGTTTACGGAAAACACGATAGTATGCACAACTTCAAACGCCTCAATCTCTCAATAATGTTCAATAAATTAGATCAAATTAATTACTACGACATCAGAAATATGCTTTTGTTGTAACATAATGTATTAGAATTTTGATTTTCCATCTCATTAATTATTAAAAAAAAACATCTAACCTCCGTGAGTTCTCCAAAAAAATAATGCAGGTTTACCTCGTATTTTGATATTGAATTAAATAGAATTACTATCAAAAACTTTCATATAACTAATCTGCTATCATTGAACTACTGAAATATGGATATATTTTTATAATTAGTACATTAATAATTATTTTATAAGTCTCGAAACATCACCCGGAAAATGCAATATATACTAGTGCAAATCTACCTACGCGCCGATCAGTACGGCAGCGGCCCACTTTTGTAAAAGGGCTCTTAAATAAGAGGACCTTATTTATAGTTAGAAATATCGATGTTTCTTTGAAATAGACGAAATATTTTATGTAGTTAAGGTGCAGTTTAAGCTTAGGAGGAGAGGCGGACCATGTTTTTTGGCGACTGATTCCTCCTTGATTTTTTTCACGAAAGAATTGATTTTCATTAGACTTGCAACGAATAGTATATTCGGCAGTATACCGAATACCGAATATTCGGCGAGGCCCCTGACCGAAGAGCCGAATATTAGGCAAAAGTATGTGGCAGGATAGCGCCAAAAACTTGTACAGACGTGATTGTTTCGCGCTCCTTTGTTTTGTTCTAACGTAACATGATCATTTCTTTACTTGATATTCTATCTCCAGTTATCACCCAAATTTTTAACCAATCCATTTCCTCTAGCAATTTTCCAAGAATTTGGAAAGATGCTCAAGTCATTCCACTTCCCAAAAAATCCAATCCTGATTGTATGTCTGATTTCCGTCCTATTTCCATACTACCTTTCCTTTCAAAAGTTCTTGAGCGTCTTATACACAATCAAATCAGTGAATACCTTCGTGTGAATAACTTACTAAATCCTATACAATCTGGTTTCCGTCCTGGCCATAGCACAGGTAGTGCACTTGTCAAGATCACCGATGATATTCGCTTTGGCATGGAGAATCAGCAACTTACAGCTTTAACGTTACTAGACTTTAGTAATGCCTTCAATAATGTTGACTTTGAAATCCTGTTGAGTTTGCTATGTTCCCTTAACATATCTCCTGCGGTCATTGACTGGTTTCGTAGTTATCTACATGGACGCCGGCAGCGTGTAGTTGTTGGTGAATCCTTCTCTCAATGGTGTACACTCACAGCCGGTGTTCCTCAGGGCGGTGTGCTATCTCCTTTGCTTTTTGCTATCTTCATCAATTCCATTACTCTTAACTTAACTTCTACCTGTCATCTGTATGCAGACGATCTCCAGATTTACACACAGGCTCGATTAGAAAATTTGAACAGTGCCATTAATATTCTAAATTCTGACTTAGCTCTTATAACAGAATGGACTAACAATTAATCCGACAAAAACGCAGTGCATAATTATTGGTAGCCCTTACTTCATATCACGGACTGACTTTAAGCAACTGCCATCAGTTACTTTGAATGGAACTGTTATCCCATTTTCTGATACAGTTCGGAATTTAGGGGTAATATTTGATAGAACCCTATCTTGGTGTCATCAGGTTGCTGAGGTTAGTAGACGAACTTTCGCTGCAGCCGGATCTTTGCGGCGTTTGCGTAACTTTTTGCCTACTGCCACCAAAATTTCTCTTGCAACTTCCCTTCTTCTACCAATTCTTGATTATGCAGATGTTTGTTATCCTTATCTTACCTTTGATCTTTTTAGTAAACTGGAACGACTGCAAATTTTTTCCATTAGGTTCATATATGGTTTGCGTAAGTACGATCATGTTTCTTACTACAGGCAAAAATTAAAGTGGCTTCCCATTCGTCGTCGCCGTGATCTACATGTATTATCCCTACTTTTCTCAGCACTGTTCAATCCAAAAACTCCTGTTTACCTCAAAGAACGTTTTCAGTTTCTTTCTTCTTCCCATAATCTTCCACTTCGTTCATCTAACAATCTTCTTCTTTTCACTCCTCCTAACTTTTCCAAGGCGTATAGCCATTCTTTTACAGTACATGCTATCCAACTCTGGAATTCCCTGCCCGAAAAGATAAGGCGTGCCCAAACTTTAGACTGTTTTAAGTCTCTAGTTAAGGAACACTTTTTGTCGGAGGAACTTAATTTTTCATAAATCTTGCATTAGAACTTACCGGTTTCGGTAGCGTTGTGAAGTATCTGAGTATTATATGTTTACCTATATATTTAAATTTATCTTATTGTATTGTATTTTCCTTTTAATTTTTTTTCCCCCTTTTCGTCTTCTTCCAATCTAATTATCAGGAAAACTTTTGCCTTGTGTTCCGCACAACCTAAGGGAGGTTGTGCGGAACACAAGGCAAAAGCTTACCTTATTTTATTTCCAGCTCATTGGGTTGTCTGGAAGAAATCGCTCATTAGCGATAAGACCGCCCTTTGTGCAATGTTGTATTTTTCTACTTGTTTTGTATCTGCTTGTTTTGTTACTGTGTTGTGCAATAAAGAGTTTTTATCTTATCTTATCTAATCTGCCGTCCTCAAGCTAAAAATGCGACTAAATGACAAAACCAACTTTTGAGATATGGCCAAAAACGGCGCGTAAACTTTAAATTATTGCTATTATGTAACCATTCATCACATGACTGAATGAATTAAAAACTGTTAACTTGTTTAATACAGAAAATGATTAAATTATGTACCTGTTCTATGTACAAATGACTACTTAATAAATGCTTATAAAATAAATAAGAACCTTACCCTTTAAAATTTTGATTACCACAATAATTCAAATACCTACATAGAATCCTCTATTGTTCCAATTCAGAAGATGATTATGTACCTGTGTTATGTACCAATTACTACTTCTATGATTATAAGACAGAAATGAAAATATGAATATATATACGTAATCAATCGATTTTATTTTTTCGTTTTACCAATTATTTCTCTATGACATAATATATTATTTAAGTATTCGGTATTCGGCCGAATAATATGTAGATATTCGGTATTCGGCCGAATATAATAAAAGCAGCCGAATAGGCCGAATACCGAATAGTAACCGAATATTCGTTGCAAGTCTAATTTTCATACATTAAATATAATTTTACTCACTCTGTGCTCCTATGATAAAATAGTAGCCCTCGAAAAAGGTCAAAAGTAAACATTTTTTTTATCACCACTAAAGACGTCTAGTGTGAAGATTAAATAATCATTTACAAAAAAAGCAAAACAGAGGCATAGTTTCTACTTATTATTCTTTGTGTAATATTTCTTTTACATATATCTAATTTAATTTCGAGGAGGAAATCGCCGAAAGCCAAACCTCAAATTTTACGCAATTTTCAGTGTTAACTACTGTTGTCCCTATCGAATGTATTTGCAAATGCGTGACAGTCATAGTTTTTTGTTTGAAATACCTATTTCTCAAATGTCTCTCAGCTCGCGTCCGCTCTTAATGGTGGCTGTGAAGTTAGCTCAAGTCGTAGCTTAGTAAACGAAATGTTAGGATGCAATAGGTGCGTTGACGACATTACTAACTGAACAGAGCCCAAGTAGACCAGGGTCGATAATTTTAAAAATGGTGAAAAGTGAAAAAAAAACAATAGTAGGATAAAACCCATTAGAAAAGGTAGAGAATATAACAAAAATGAAAGGAAAAATAAATTACGGGCGATCTGAGGTCGGGAAGGGAGTGGGTGAGTTTTTAAGGGTAAAAAATGGTTAATCTCGATTTCCGGTAGAACTGCAAGTCCTATGAAAAAAAGTTAAATGGCAAAGTTGTAGGTAATAAAAAGATCTACAACTTTTGTATCGACGCTTTTTTCACGTAACCTCAAAATTTATGTGAAAAATGCGAATAACCGAGTTTTTGGTTTTTATTTTTTGCAAAAAAAAAATATTTTTCACGAAATTTGGTGAAAACTTACCTTTGTATGTCCCAAACATACAGTAATTTTTTTGATTTAAAATATTCATTTTTTCACCTTATTTTGACTTAATATCGAAAAAGCAACCTAATTTTCAATCGAAAATTCTCACGTCAAAATATCTGCTTTTTTAAAAAAGTTGGAGTGTCTTTTGTTTGTTGAAATCTCTACTTTCTGATGGTATAAGAAAAATATACACTACTATGATAAATGTTCTCAGAAAATGCAAATTAATAATGAAAAAATCTCGAATCCTTATCCTATCCTCGAATTAAGTCTAAAGAAAATTTTACTAGAAGAATTTCCACGCAGCCCAGGAAGCAGACGAGACTCGACTCGAACTTACACCCTCCGCTATCTTGGCGGATTCACTGACTAATTATGCGACCACGACCTTAATAGCCGTGTCGAATTTCTTCTAGTATTTCTTAGGCTGCAAGGCAGCGCCATCTCTTCGCATTATAGGTAACCCAGAACAATTGTTTCAGTAAAACTTCCCCCCGAAGTGTTGATAGATCTATTGATCAAGATGTCGGAGTCCGAGGCGCGGTTGTCGAGCGGCTGTAGCGAGCGCGTAGAGCTGGCCGCGCTCATAGCTGGCTTCCAGGCCGCGAGAGACCAAGTCAAAGTTGAACTTTAAATTTAAGGACAATTAAAGTCACGTGGTGTCTAATGTCATCGCTAATATGTTATTCAATTCGATTTTAATGTGATCGCAAAGTGAGAGCACTAAACATAATCGAACTTCAACTTAGTTGATGTATGTGGGTATGGACGTTAAACTTGTTCTGTAATAAAATCTTGTCTTAAAATTTCGTTTTTTAATTTCTTTTTTGAAGTTATACTTCTTTATGCGCGTTATAAAAAAATTATGAGAGTGAAATTTTAAGATGCGCGCGCATCACTGTAACACAAAATTTTAACAGCATGAAGTTGGTCGCTTTAGCGACCTACTTCATGCTGTTACTTTTGTGTTTACCTCACATTAAGAAAATCTACCAACAAAATAGAAATAGAATCTCTATTTAGTGGGTGCTAACGACTGCATTGTGAAGGCCTATCAAAAGTATTTATTAATCTGGAACAACGGAACCAAAGCGCGATTCAGGAGGCTACAGCGCCATCTCTTGACCATTGGTGTAGTAGAACCAAAAACCACATCTTTATTTTTTGTAATAAAGTAACAGTTATAGGTATTCATATTTATAATATTTATCCACATGTTTCTAGTTTGTATATTCGGAATACGTGTTTGAGTTTCATACAAGTGCAAATCACATAAATGTTCTAATAAATTATATTCAGTAGCGATTTTAATTGAATATTTTGATTATTTATTTATTTTTTCAAATTAAAACTGAACTTTATTGACTGTGTCCTTTTCCAGACTTTTTATTAATTTATTGTAATTAATTATTTGCATGCAATTAAAAACTAATTTTAAACGATGCGAAAGAAGGATAACTTCTCACGCGCCTACATAAGTACACGCACCCATTTTTTATAATAATATGTCTTGAAACAGCGGGAAACTATCACCACTATTTGAAATAGAATCGTGATATAATCCTTATCATTAAGAGAGTATGATTTAAATTATCAAACTATTGTACTGCCCAAGCATCCTTACTATAGCTTTACCGCTGTAAAGCCGACCCTCCCAAGGTCTGCGGGACGCGGGAGGGGGATGCGCTCGACCAATCAATCTGTAGCCTGTCGGTTGCCATCAGCGATCGACTTATAACGTAAGAGCTCACGCGGTTGCAACCTCGTCTACGCTACATGAGATCTTTTACGGTTCTGCATTCAACAAACATGGAATTACGTAATAAAAGTTAAGAAGTCCAGCCAAGATTATACTATTAAAGGTAGCTTATTTAATAAATATATTATTTTGTATTTCAATACATTTTCCGTGTTAAAAATATTTACGGCAAGACTAGGTATATATTACAAAGTCGAAGTCACTTTTGTAATAACAACACGAAAATATAAATATCATGAGATATCTCGGCAATGCTGAGTACCCGTACAGCCCCGCGTCCCACGGACCACTACAGGAGGGTCGGCTTTACAGCGGCCAAGCTATAACTGCTGGAACTGGAACACAGCACTAAACAATAGTCTAATTTGTACTGTTGCACCGAATGTCGTTCCTACCAAATATGTAGCGAAACCGAAGTTCGGCCGACATTCGGTTAAAGGACAATGTTAAAATTGACCTAAGAACCAACACCAATTTGGCATTTATGATAATTCTTAGTATATTTTATCAGTATTTAGATTGTGACGGACACTTCCAGTTAAGTAAGGTAAATTAAAAAGTTGATAAATAATCTGTGACAATAAATACCATTTTATGTATATAATCTATGACAGCACTGCAAACAAAAAACACTTTCTTCCTAATGCCGGCACTTCACTTGGCTATTCGTATTAGCTATTTAAAAACATGACATCAGTGTGTCCTTTTCATTCTTAGAGCATTTATACCAGTGGCCATGATCGTTATATAAAACTAGTGCACGCGCGGTCTGCGATCATTTTCAATATTTCGTGTTACGAGTCAGAGCTCCTACAAAAATGGTAAATTGTGCTGTTTTATTGTGCAAAAACCGTTCTGCCACAATAAATAAGCGAGAACATGGTGTTACCTATCATACGTAAGTATTTTTATTGAATGAAAGCTCAGAATTTACGAATAATGTTAAATTTAATTTAAAAGCCGTTGAATGACAATAATGAATAATGAATGACATAAAAAATTAGGTAGCCAGCAATAGTGATGAGACACAAAGAATGAATGAATGGAACTTTTGATAACTGTCTTTGATTTTTTGTTACGTCGATTTGTTTATAATAAATAGCTTATAGACAAAGTGAGTATATTTTGGATGGATTCTATAAAAAAACATGGTTAATAAACAAGACTATATCTAACATTATTAACCAAAGACTAGAAAGGTATAATGATTTAAACTTTATGGGGCTCAGCCGCTAATATCGAAAGTATTTTCATACTGCAAAAGAGAGCTGTTCGCGCCATATACAATTTAATGGCAAGAGAATCCCTTAGAGAAAAATTTAAAGAAATTAATATTTTAACACTGGCGTCGCAATACATTTATGAAAATTTAATATATGTAAGAAAAAACTATGATGAATTTGCAAAAAAAAGTCAAACCCATAACTTTAACACGAGATTTAAGAACAAGCTTGCCGTTCCATGTTTCAGACTCCAAAAATCAAGAGGTTCATTTCTGGGTTGTAGTATTGCATTGTTTAACAAAGTTCCCCAAGATCTGATTGAGCTTCCACTGACTAAATTTAAATCTCAGATCAAAAATACTCTTATGAATAAGGGCTATTATAAAGTTGATGATTATCTAAATGATCGTAATGCATGGACATAGTGTTTCTTATAATTTAATATTAAATGGGTATTACTCATTTTTCATAACAGTAATATTGTACCTATCTAATGCCGCTTCCTATATACTACTTAAAATGTTAACTATAAAATTAATTGTAACTATTTATATTCTAGATGATGTAATGGAAAGTGACTTCAGACGTATTTCTGAAGTAATTTTTCAAATTGACGACACTGTATATAACAATACAGGGAGAAAAAAACAGCCCTTGCTGAGTTTCTTGCCGGCTTCTCAGTACAAGGTCTCCCGCCGTAGTTTTGCGAACCGATGGCGTAGCTTCTTGACCTTCACAAGTGCTTGTAACAGCCTAGACTGAATAAATGACATTTCATTTCATTATTTTAGAAGAAGTTTAATACATTTCTACTATTTTTAGAGAGACTAAAAAAATGAGGATCTGTTTGTTTGTCTATCAGTTTCTTTAATAATGGGAAATAAAATGTAAACTGGCGTATAGATAGGTACATTTCTATGAACCTAATCAAATCAAGAAGTTAGTTAGTTGGGCAACATACCTGATAACTATCTACAAGATGGTCTTCTAATGTGGGCACATTAAGCTACTTTTATGACATTGGTACTAGGTATAATTGAAGTATAACTTTTTAAATAACTCTACAACAAAAGACACGGAGCGCAAGATTTTATTTAGTTGGCACAGTGATTATTATATTTCCGCGAAAAAAAGGTGACGCTTGGTGAATATCGAACGTATATTCATAGGTGTTTTAAATCAGATTTCTTTGATTGGACAGATCATGTCATGTATTTGTTGTTGTTTTTTTAGATTTCCAAAAGATCACGATCTCAGAGAAAAGTGGATATTATTTTGTAATCACGAAGAATCTTGGGTGCCCAAACGTAATAGTGTTATTTGTTCCACTCATTTTACCGAGTAAAGTTTTGGAGCACTATCAAATAAAAAAGGAAATTGGTTGTCGGTGCAATACCTTCTTTAAGATCTTGTCATAATACGGTACGCCATGCTTTCTTTTTTTTTTTGATAATAGCGCCAATATTACTTACTTGATGATACTTCTTATAACAATCTATACTAATATTATTAAACTTAAGAATAAGTTTGTATTTTTTATACATTTTCATTGTTTTTAATTTAAAAAGTATATTATTGTTCGATAGTTCTTTTATCGAAGAAGGCTAAACGCTTTCATGCTACTACTAATAGGAACTACGTCCGTCCATAAGCGGTTAAATCGGAACTAATTGACTTACGGGTTAGTTTATTTGATGTATTAGTAAGTAATGTAGGATGCTCACAGTATCATACTATGATTTAAGATGGAACCACATATAAAAATAAATATAATGGATATTCCCAATATCACAAATGCATAAGTACTTAAAATCTCTAGTACCTCTGCCGTCATACCACCAAAAGTGATGATCCCATCTTAGCAATTGATTGTAATTTAAATTAATGTTTTTGAAATGGCCAGCAACTTTATATTAGTTTTTTTGTTGTGTACAGTAGCAAAATATATGTTTTAATTATTAATATTGTTTTAGAATGTTAAAAAAGCCATTTGGAATATGTGTCACAGCCGTCACCATATTCGAATTCTGTCAGTGAGCAAGTGAGTTTATTTTAATTTCAACATAGCAAAAAAATCCTGGAACAAGATTTTATTATTTCAATTGTCAACAGTTACTTCGTATAATAATATTTTTTTGTTTTAAAGTCATTGTGAATTACTATATGTAGTATTTATTGTTCTTACTAGCATGATACATATTACATCGTATAAATACAATGGAAAATAGGAACTCATATGCCTACGGTGTATTTTCTCTAATTTGTAAATAACTAATGCAAGCTGCTTATAGTGTTACTTTATAATTTCAGATAGAAAGACCTGTAAAAATAATATTAATGGATATTCCTATCACAAAAGCAAAAGTACTTCATACCTCTAGGATCTCTGCTGTCGTACCACCAGGAGTGATGATTTCATCTTCCCAAATTATTGTAAATTAAACCAAAAATAAACATCAAAATAAAAACTTTTCTTAATATTGAGCTCCTTTGTATTGGGTTTTCATTGTGATAGTATATGTTATAGTATCAAAAGATTATTATATGTTATTTTATTACTTATTATTGTTTTAGAATGGTAAAGAAAAGCATCTGGAATCTGAGTCACAGCCGTCAACATATTCCGATTCTCTCCGTAAACAGGTGCAATGA